AAGAGTGGGCCAGCAGGTGATGTGGTGGTTAAGGGCACTGGACTCCCACATGGCTGACCACAGTTCAAGTCCCAGACCTGGCAGGCTTGTTTCTCTCTCTCTCTTTCATTCTCTCTCTTTCTCTCTGTCCCTCTCTGGTCAAAGTTAAATAAATAAATAAAGTTAAAATAGTTCTTAAGAAAAAAAAAGTGGACCTCTGAGTATTACCATATTTCCCGCAGTTCCTCCACAGTATTTTCAACATTTGGATCATACTGGCAAACGTGTGGATGCTTATGACCGTCCTGAGCTATCCCTGGGCTCTTACGAATTCTTGGCTACTGTAGATTACTGCAAGGTGAGGGAAGGTGGCATGTGGGGAAGCAGTGGGTGGAGGATAACGCAACAACCAAGACCTGCTGTTACCATTTCCCTCACCCCTTCGTGTCCCCTTTGATGCTGACATCTCTCTAGCCAACTGGCCTACTTACCAGCAAAACATTTCCTTCCTCTACAGAACAATAAGTTCCCCAGCCCTCCTGCCTTCATCTTCATGATCGACGTCTCCTATAATGCCATCAGGACTGGCCTTGTAAGACTCCTCTGTGAGGAGCTCAAGTCACTGTTAGACTTTCTCCCTAGGTGAGAGTTAAGGAGCCAGGTTCGTCCTTTAATTAATGATGATGTGTCTGGGTTAACTAAACAGATGGAGCCTGGTGTCATGAAGTTGTGGGTGGTGGAGCAGGGGGCAAGTCTGAGTAACAATGTCACCTTCTCTAGGGAGGGTGGGGCAGAAGAGTCGGCAATCCGCGTTGGCTTTGTCACCTACAATAAGGTGCTCCACTTCTACAATGTGAAGAGCTCACTGGCCCAGCCACAGATGATGGTTGTGTCTGATGTGGCTGACATGTTTGTGCCACTGCTGGATGGCTTCCTGGTCAATGTCAATGAGTCCCGGGCAGTTATCACCAGGTAAGAGCTACCTCATTGGGAGTGAAGTGGGGTGTGGGGTGTGGGGTGGGTATAACCACAGAAGGCTAGGGAATAGAGGGGTCAGTAAATGGATAGGGCTGTGGCTTTGGAGGACAAGGTTGTGGCTTAGGAGATTTTAGAGTCTGGGGACCAGACGACTCTTCAGTGAATGAAGAACTGAGGAATTTGAAATCTGAACAGCAGTTTTGGTTGTCTCCTATCACCTCTTTCTTCAGCTTATTAGATCAGATTCCAGAAATGTTTGCCGACACAAGGGAGACAGAGACAGTATTCGCCCCAGTTATCCAAGCTGGGATGGAGGCTCTGAAGGTAAGGCTAGAGTCCTGGGTAACCTCCACTAACCATCTTAATCTGGGATTCAACCACCATTCTTCAGTGGCTGATGATTGTTCGGTCAGTCAGTCTAACATAGCTGGTGCTTGATAAATGAGGAGGAGAATGAAGGAGTAATGGGTGAGTAAAGGAGAGAATGAGCAAGTCCTCTCTTCTTTCCCAGGCGGCTGAGTGTGCAGGGAAGCTGTTTGTGTTCCACACATCCCTGCCCATTGCAGAGGCCCCAGGGAAACTGAAGAACAGAGACGACAGGAAGCTGATCAACACAGACAAGGAGAAGGTGTGGGACTAGAAGATGGGGGGAGGACTTCCCATTGTAGAGGAAGGTGGGGACTCTTTAGAATACCATATTCTAACTTTTTAGAGGGGGACTGGGACCAGACATCCTGCCATGTCACATCTACCACTGTCAGCCTCTCCACCCCTTCCACACCTCTCTATCCCATCTCATCACAAAGTCCTTGGTAGCCTCTTTTTTTTTTCAGGGGGTTGGGGGGAGAACTTTCTTCTACTATTGCAAACTTCTGGGAAGGATGTGAAGTATTCCATGTATTTGAAAATCTCATATCACATACACAGTTCTATATAGGGCAGAACTGAAATATCCGCATGTTTTCTGCTGTTCCTCAGACTCTGTTCCAACCTCAGACAGGTGCCTATCAGGCCCTGGCCAAGGAATGTGTAACCCAAGGCTGCTGTGTAGACCTCTTCCTGTTCCCTAACCAGTATGTGGATGTGGCCACGCTCTCTGTCGTGCCCCAGCTCACTGGTGGTTCTGTCTACAAATATGCTTGCTTTCAGGTATGGTGTGGGACTCTGGGTGGTAGGTGGCAGCAGGGCTGGGAACATGTCGAGTGGCTCTTTAGCCACTGACTCATTAATAGGAGAAAGAGGGGAAGCTCACACAGTGTGAAGAAGTGAGCCAGAGAGCGCAGCAGTTAGGAGCATGGACCTTGGAATCAGTCCTGGGTTAATAAATTCTGGCCCCATTACTTTTTAGATGTATGACCGAGGATAAATTACTTGATTACTCCCTTCTTTGCTCCTCTACCTATAAAGTGGGATTTTGATACTTGTTAATTAGGATTTGTCTACAGAGTTTAATAAGTTTATATAAAGCACTCATCGTGGTACCTGACACATAGTAAGAACTGAAAACTCACGTCCTTATCAACATCATTATTGTCATCCTCACTGTTACTGTGTTTAAGCAGGCTCGTAGAGCACAAGGGTACAGGGAGATGTCTGTAAGGTGGTCAGTGATGTGCCTTTGGGCCTGGGGGCTACAGGTGGAGAACGATCAGGAGCGGTTCCTCAGTGACTTACGTCGTGATGTACAGAAGGTTGTTGGCTTTGATGCTGTGATGCGGGTCAGGACGAGCACTGGTAAGTTCTGGCTGGAGAAAAGCAGGGGAAAGTTTAAATCTGAGAGGGAGATGAGTCACACCTTCAGCCCTGACCCTGTCCATGTGGCTTCAGGTATTCGGGCTGTAGATTTCTTTGGCGCTTTCTACATGAGCAACACAACAGATGTGGAACTGGCTGGGCTGGATGGGGACAAAACAGTGACTGTGGAATTCAAACATGATGATCGGCTCAATGAAGAGAGTGGAGCCCTTCTGCAGGTGGCAGGCGGGAGCAGGAGCTGGGGAGGAAGTGTTGGGTGTCATTCCACAGGGTGTAAATATGCTGCTGGGAGTGGGTGAGGAATGGAGGAGGGGTGTCATGGCTTTCTTCTAGTTCCATCATAGAGCAAGGGGGGCTTTTCAGAGGGCTTTAATGAGGGTGGGGTGTGAGTTCCTCCTTTGTCCCTTTCCCTAGTGTGCCCTACTTTACACAAGCTGTGCAGGGCAGCGTCGGCTTCGCATCCACAACCTGGCCCTAAATTGCTGCACCCAGCTGGCTGATCTATATAGAAACTGTGAGACTGACACACTCATCAACTACATGGCCAAGTTTGGTGAGAATACAGGCAGGGCAGGGTGAAGGGACTGGGGATGAGAGAAAGGACGTGGATGTTAGCGATTCATCATTCCTGGGTAGCCATGATGATGATAAGGCACACATGACAGGTGGCTGAGCAGTGACTGCTGTTTCCCTTTGCCATCCAGCATACCGGGGGGTCTTGAACAGCCCTGTGAAGACTGTTCGTGATACTCTCATCACCCAGTGTGCCCAGATCCTGGCCTGTTACAGAAAGAACTGTGCTAGTCCTTCCTCTGCAGGACAGGTGGGCAAGCACATTAGTGGAGGGTGTGTTGGGACCAATTTATGCCTTTAGGAGCGATTTCTCATAATCAATGACCTTATTTTGAATAATCCCTCAGTTGATCCTTCCTGAGTGCATGAAGCTACTCCCAGTTTACCTGAACTGTGTGTTGAAGAGTGATGTCCTGCAGCCTGGAGCTGAAGTCACTACTGATGACCGTGCCTATGTTCGACAGCTGGTTACCTCCATGGATGTGGCTGAGACCAATGTCTTCTTCTATCCTCGACTCCTACCGTTGGTGCGATTGAGGGTTAGGTTGTGAGACGCTGCAGAGAGAAAAGGGACTTTTGAAAGGAGGAAGGGAAGGCTTAATAATATTTGTGTCTGGGCTGGCCTCATGCCCAGTGGTTAAGGGAGCTAGAACCTATATGAATACCAGCCCCAGTGACTTGAAAAACATGCATGTGGGGACCAGCAGGTGACATGGTGGTTAAGGTGCTGGACACTCCCATATGGCTGACTACAGTTCAAGTCCTGAACCCGATGGCTTGCTTTCTTACTTTCCCTTTCTCTATTTCTCTCTCTGGTCAAATGAAAATAAACAAATGAATAAATAAAGTTAAATAAAATAATTCTTTTTTTAAAAAAATACATGTATGCCCCAAATCTCAACAGGATGGGCAATTGGTGGAAGGGATTGTGTCAGGACCATGTCCCATTGTGAGTGTGCTTTCTCCCTCTCCCTCTTACCTCTCTGGCTGGTGCACACATCTTCTGGCAAAATTTTAAAAAGTATATCTGACACTAAATGATTTTGTTTTCACATATATCCAGAGAGAATTATTGAGATCCCAGAAATCTCTGGGTCTCCGGGCACTTAGCTTTCTATTTTTTGTGTGTATGTGTAGGAGCAAATGTGTCTCAAAGTCCCTGGTAACCCTTTGCCTCCTTCTTTTTGTCTAGACAAAGTCTCCCATCGAGAGTACTACCGAACCACCAGCAGTTCGAGCATC